CATGTCTGAAACTAAAAACATCTTACAAATGACTGAGAAATATGACGTTTTCATTCTAGAAACCAAAACGACTTTCTCCTGCACTCCCATGAAACCTCCATAGAAGTGATAGAAGTTGTGTTCAAGGACACAAAATAACAAGGTGAAATTCATGTCGAGGAATTGAAAAAATAAATGAATAAGATAAGTCTCCAGCAACAGGAAACAGTATATTAAACGTCATGACTGCATTGGGGACTGGTTGGTTCTTTGGTTTTATGGTTATTGTAAAGAATCTATACAGAACCACCTATGTACCCAGGTGATCGTTGTACTTTTGGGCATTTGATTTAATTATTTATTCCACTGGTTTCACAGTTGTTTTGTTATTTAAATGACTTACAGTAAATAGAACACTTCATTGTAATGGTGCAATATGGTCTTGTGTAAGTTGCATCCCTGTTTTGACAGATACTACAGCTGGCACAGAGTGTGTGAGACTGAGTTGTGTGCAAATGCAGCAGTAAATAGTTAATACTTACTCATTTTCATTGCCCTTTGCCATAAACATTGTTGTGAATAGCAGAGCTAAAGAAAAGTGGAAGTAAATTTTTCTAGAAAATTTGGTTAATATTGGTTCAGATTTTTCACTTTATGACAATCAATGTCATTTTCTGTTAAATGAGAGGCTTTCATTAATAAAAAACAAATAAATATGAATGATAATAAATATGTAATACTACCAAATAATATCTTTGTGTCTAAGGGGTGATAGTGACATGGTCCTGTCACAATTCAGAAAATATCCACACCTTTTCAAATTGTATTAAACAATGTTATATTATTGAACTTTTAGCCTAATTTTCATATCACATTTTCATTTTAAAATCATAATTTAAAACATTGGAAACCAAGTTTAAAGTTAAGGTTATTGAAAAAGAAAATGAATAAATAATCACAAACCTGAATTTCCACATTCCACATTACTAAAACTTTATCCATGTTGCATAAATGATGATGTCAGGGCTCCAACTTCAGTGTTGACTCATGCCTCATGAATATCCGTGCTTCAGGGTAACCTGTGCATTTGTGCTGATGAAGGCATTTACAGAAAGCTTCTGGTGGTGTCAATGTACTGGCTGCATTGTGCTGATGCATACACTTAATGCACTACTATTATTGGGTCCTTGGGCATCACGACAAGTGAGTGAGCACATATGCACTGTTAAAGGGTACTATGCTTATGTTTAACGCATAATAAGACTATTCCAAAACCCTGATCAAAATTTGGAAGTCAAGTTGTATCAACAATCACTGGTACAATGTTGCCAAGCAGCATTCCAACTAATTTTAAATGGGCCAACAACATTTTAAAGCTAGGTAAAAATCGCTCGCCAAATTTGGGGGGAATTATTCTGTTTGATGTAACAATGCAATAAAAAGGGGAAAAGAAGAAATATTATTGAGTGCTAATACTGTATGTGAACATAGACATCACAAAGCTGGACCTGATAGAGAGAATGTTGTCAGCCACGTGGAAATTTGTGTTTCCTTTGAAATAATTGTATGCTCTAGACGACTAATAAAATTTTGTATTTGCTTGTATTGCCCATAACTGTTAAATGAAATTATGAATACAGAGCATTTCAGATGAGTTGAAAGTGAAATTTCTATTGGACTTGCAGATGTGTACCAAACCTGAAACCAGTAAGGTTATATGTCTGTCTGTCCATCCATTATCTGAACCCCTTATTTAACTAAGGGTTGTGAGTTAAATATACTTGCAAATTTGGGGAGAATAGATTTGCTTACATCATCATCTCCATCTACAGACTATTTGTTATTTGGACTCCACCACTTCTTCATTGACAGTCTGGACTTTCAGTATGGTGACTGGTACATTGCCTATAAACATTCCTTCAATATGAAGAGTGAAAATAAACTCATTTAATTAAAGATAATTATTTTTGAATGCTCGGGCACCATGTGAAGTTCTTGGAAAACATGCAAAAATGACATTATAGATAGTGAAGAAAATGACAAGTCATTGTTTTTTATTACTGTATATACCATACAGTGCTTTTACTCTCACAAACATGCTACTGACTTGGCTGTAACAATGTATCGGGTTTTTTACCTATTTTTTTTTTCTAATATTATAGTTGTCTCCGTTTTTTGTAAAATATTCTGCTCTGCTGCCATGTTGGTGCTGCCATGTATGCTGCCAACACCACCTCTTCTTATGTAAATAATAGACCACAGTCTGTCAGACTCGGCCCCCACCGGTCCAGCACCATCACACTCAGCACAAGGATGTGTTTTGAGTCCCCTCCTGTTTACGCTCTACACATCCGACTGCTCCCCTACCCATCTCTCAAAACACCATCATAAAGTTCGTGGATGACACCACAGTGGTTGGACTCATCTCAAGGGGGGATGAGTCGGACTACAGAGATGAGGTCAACAGACTGACTGAGTGGTGTTCAGTTAACAACCTCCAACTGAACACCATGTTCATGCCCTATCGGCCCCCCTGGCTAAACTTTGCTAGATCCGCCCCTGCACAGTTACCAGCCGTCAGCTGCGTAGAAAAAGATCCTGGTGTAGAAAGTAATATTAAATAAATTCTAACAACAGCTGATCAAGCTTAAACGTGCTGCTGTTGTTCAGCCGCTGGTTTCCTCTTTCTGGTGCAAAGTGGGCCAAAAACAAACCAAGAGAGACGGACTCGCGACAGAAAAGCCGATCAGCTGATCATTAAGCAGTTTCATGATTGAAGTAGCAGCCAAGAAGAGGCAGTCGCTCCATATATCGCTTTGTTAAGCTTAACGCAGGAATGCTTTACAAACATTCAGAGATGGACTTACACACTTGCTTTACTTCTCTCGGGGATAACTTTGTCGGAGATGAAATGCCGGGTTGCTAGCGAAGCTCCACAATGCTATCCAGACCACCGACAGGTCCCGCATGCCACAGCCGCTCTATCACGTGATGCATACTGCTCCACGTGCTAACGTTCTGAGGTGAGTTACGGCGTGTTGCAAGTTTTGTGAGGTGCTTTCGTGATATTTAATGGATCGGATTACATTTTTTATTTTTCTCCGATATCCGATCCAGTAATTTAGGTCAGTATCGGACCGATACCGATACGTAATATCGGATCGGTCCATCTCTAGTGAGAGGGTACACTCCATGAGGTTTCTGGGCGTGCAGATCTCTGATGACCTCTCCTGGACTGCAAATACTACGGCGGTGGTTAAAAAGGCCCAGCAGCGTCTCCACTTTCTGAGAGTGCTCAGGAGGAACAACCTGGAGGAGAGGCTGCTGGTGACATTTTACAGAGCCACCATAGAGAGCATCCTAACGTACGGCATAACAACATGGTATGCAGGGTGCTCAGCTGCGGACAGGAAAGTACTGCAGAGGGTCATCAACACAGCCCAGAAGATCACTGGCTGCTCTCTGCCCAGCCTGGAGGTCACTGCAAACTCTCGGTACCTCAGCAGAGCTGGCAATATCATCAAGGACCACTCTCACCCCAGCAACCAACTGTTTGAACTATTACTGTCAGGCCGACGGTACAGGTCACATAAAACCAGGACAAACAGATTCAGGGATAGCTTCTTTCCCAGAGCTATCACCGTAGTAAATAAGCACAAAAACAATTGAACCTATTCCATACCGTCACTGTCATTATATTATGCTGCTATCCTGTATATATTGTACATACTATTGTTTGAGTACTTACGATTGTTTTTTTTTGTACTTTTTATATTTTACATTTATATTTATTATTGAAACTTGCACCAAGGGAGTGGCACTCCAATTTCGTTGTACTCTGTACAATGACAATAAAGGCTATTCTATTCTAAAACATGCTTCTAAATTGGGAAAACACTGGGTTGACTTACTGAGTTGACAACACCTTCACATAGCATCAACTGTTTTCCCAAGTTTTGGCAATCAGGTCGCTCTATAATGACTTAGACATTACATAGTTAGTATGTCACAGTGTAGAGCACTCAAACAGCCACCCGTTACCATATATTGCCATATCTGACTTTTTAAACATAATGCATCATATTCATACAGCCTTGAAAAAAAAATTGTGCTAGGCATTGTTTTAATTTATAGATGGGATGGTTTTGCCATGTCTTATATTTGGAGAATATAATCACAGACAGATACACACTAAAGCAGACACACACACACACACACAACACACACACACACAACACACAAACACACACACAAACACAACACACACACAAACATGCCTACAAGGATAGAAACAGAAAGCATCCACGTCTGACGTCCACAAACAAAATCGATTAAACTGTGTCCTTCTTCCACTTTTCCCACGGTGCTTCAGCGGGCCGGACGGCAGTGGGAACCCTGTTAGGGTTCCCAATAAGCTCCGAAAATATGGGAACACACCGGCTGACGACTGAACACATGCAAGGCAAAGCTGTGTGTGGTGTATTTAGGGAAAGATGTGAAATAAAATAATAGTCCCAAGGAGGTCAAATCCCTTAACAGAGACCCCTCCAATTTAAGTGGTTCCTAGGCTAGACAGACTGTTTTATGGGCTAATCTGAATTATCAAAGTTAGCCAATATTAGCTCAGTACAAGTCAAATGGCCCCCCCCCC